CCTCTCCCATCTTGAACTGTGCGCCTATGGACCTCCAGCGTTTCTCAGTTCTCAAAAAAATCGAACACACTAGCTAAAATAAGATAAAAGTGCTACCAAATTGTAACTGCTTTAGTTCCACAAGACAAAGTGTGTTAGGGTAAATTAGTCAAGATTTCATAATTTGAACTTCAAGTGGAAGTGAGACATAATCCAGGACAGAGGGAGTAATAGAAGTTATCCACCAAAGTTTTCACAACGGACATCCTTCATTATACAAATTGGAATCTTGCATACTCCGGCAAAAACCAAAATCAGCATCCTTTTGAAAGGCTGCATTCTAACTTCATTCGAGATGATCCATATGAGTGGGGAAACATATAAAGATTTGTCCCTCTTCCTCTCACCCCTAACCATCTAGCTCTCGCAATGAAGCCAAGATTGGCAAACATCAAGCCTGATTGGTTACAGCTTGATAGCTTCCCCAAGAGTGCTCCAAAGAAATTATCAAGACAATGTTTAAACACAATTACTAGAAATGGTGGAAAGTAGTCCATGCTTGCATCTGGTGGGTCATATGGAAGGAAAGGAATGCAAGAGCTTTTGAAGATAGGCCTAGCTCTTACTAGAAAATTAAGTTTAATTGTTTTTTGTTATTTCATTTTTGGTGCAAAGAGAGCTACAGGGAGGACGTACATTCTTTACTAGATTTGCTAGAAGAAATGTAATCGAGCAGAATAAGCTAGGTGGTCTCAGATCTTTTGGGGTCTGATTGTGGCTCACACAATCTCCTGTAAATATTTTACTCACTTATAAAATTTGTTACCATTATCAAAAAAAAAGAGATGGCTTCAGGCTCTAACACATTTGCCATGGCCATGCAGCACCAAAACTAAACATGAATATACAATAATGTTTGAGCTTAAGTACATTGTCATTCTTGCCTTCAAATATTCTAGTGTTCCTTTCATTCCAAATTACCCAGCACGGAGCTGCAGGAATAGTGTTCCACATGGAGAAGGAGGACTTAGAAACTCCTCCTCTCTGCCAAGTCGTCAAAAATCAAGAGGGGAGCTAGGCATGCACCAGTTCAAGCCCAGGATGGAAAAAGCTAGGTTCCAAAGTTGCCCAGAGACTTTGGACTTCGCTAGGAATGGAGGAAGTGTTATTTTATACATTGATCACCCACCTATGAATTATTTTCACACTTCTAGGTAGAAATTGGAGTTTTTCCTCCTTTATTTATCTGTTTCTTTTGTAACACTGTCCACCGTAGCAAGGCTACAGACACAACTATCACATGCCCTATATCATACACAAGCCAAATTTAAAGTCTTTATTAACCCATTACCCAACAACTCATATAATTCTAGAATTCCCAGATACAACAAATGATACGCGTAGTTGAGGTCATGGCACACTCCTCTATCAGTTCAAATTTAGGTTTATATCAGAAATTTGTACAATCAAGAAAGACAAGAGACAGGTTGGTGATCACTTTTAAGTTAGAATTCACTTGATATCGTTAATGCTCAGGAGCAATCTAACATCTGCAGTTTCTAACTTTCTGTGCATGTCACGACCAAGCGGTAAGAAGTAAACAGGAGAGAGGTATGGTGTCAAAAATTAGCTCACAAAGACAAGACAACAGGAAGACAAATTCAGTATGAGAATTACATAGAAAGTTATGGAGCAAAAATTAGATATTAAGAACAAAATACCAGAACAACTGCCTCCATAACTGATTTTCTCTGTCTAATTCCTTCGAATGGAGGGGGAGCAAACTCAAAATAACCCAATACAGACCTGCGGCAAGGAAAACACTTGTTACTTCAACAAATGAGACAGAAATGCATCAGCACTTCATACTTATGCAATATTATCTTCCATTACTGAAGCACAGCTAAACAAAAAACTCTTATATAAGGCAGCACTCAAGCACTGTGGGTACTGGGTACCATTGTGCAACAGAAACTTTGATCAAGAAATAACGATCTTCATTGAATTCAGGGACCAAATGGAAGAATATACTTTACCTCAATAATGAAGGGACCAAATCATGAGCTCTACAAAATGCCAGACAAGCTAGTTCATGAAGTTTCAAGCCCTTCCCTCTTTTAGCATAAACATCAATAATACGAATAGTATCTTCAATATCTAAACCTTCAACTTCTCTACAATCGTCTTCTTGGTCGACCTCCATCAAGTCACCATCATCGTTGCACCTCAAATTGGGCACCAATCTAAGCAAGGAAATAGCTATGTCCACAATTTTCCGAGCAAGCGGACGAAAACATCCGACCAAAGGGATTGTATACTTTGGATGTATCATAAGTTGTCCCAAAGCATTCACCACTTCTTCTCCTGTAACTTTATCACCCTATTATTAACAATAAAAGTTGGAAATTTTGTCATACTCAAGACAAAAGGTACTGAATACAAATGCTACAGCGTGATTTAAATATATTTAAATTTTTATTGGTTATATTAGATTTTGGGTACCTTCTTTAATAAGTAATCGAATTGGGATATAGAAGCAAGCTCAGGGCACCGAGAAAGGAACCTCTGCAGCTCATAATCCACCCGAAAACTCCCATCAAATGACATTTTTCGTTATCTGAATTGAAATTAAGCTGGGGCAAAACTTAAATAGCCTCTTTTAAGCTAAAACAAAGCTACAGGTGAATGAGAAGAGTGAAGGGGGAAAGCTTTGGCAGAAACTAGGGTTTAGGGTTTAAGGATTCTTATTTTGCCGCTTTACTTTTGATTTATATGTTTCGGCGGGTCGCCAGCTGGGTCTAACTTTACGAATTCGGTCGGGTTAAGAATTAAAGACTCGAGTATTGCGTATTTGTAAAATGTACGTCACTGCGGATACATCGCTTCACAATTCATGGTCCCGGTTTTTGTTTTAATTTTCGATTTGCTTCCTGCTTGTTTATTTGGTAATGTTTCAAGGCCAAATTTGGTTATAGCTCTTTTATGTCACATTTGGGCTGTGTAATCTTTCGCTTATGTTATTTTATGTGTGTAATATTTATTTATTTCTTTAGTGAAGGTAACAATTCACACTATTTTACTTGTAAATAAATTTTTTTTTATTTATTGAGATTACACTCCAACTTAATAGGAGAAATCGTTCGAATACTATAATTAAATAACTTAAGAATTCAATTGAAAAAAAAACACAAATAATTATAACAATACACAACTTGTAAGATCCTTACCACCTTTCCATCATTAAGTTTCTTGTTTTGGAATTTTGTCACAAACAAATAAGGGTTAGTCAAAATTTCAAAAGAATTTATTTCAAAGTAAAATCAAATGGTTTTAAAATTATTAGATTGTATGACCTAATATGTTTTTAGTTTTAATCATAGGTGGTGACTTCACAAACAACTAAATTTTTTAAATTAGCTGGTTTAATTTTTTTGAAAAAGAACATTCATTCTACTTTCAAAGTTCACTTTCCTTTTCCTTTGAATTTTTTTGGGCGGTGCAACTCTCGTTACATTTAAGAAGAAAATAAACTCCGCTTGTATTATCACACGCCAATACAATTTTTTTTACAACTTGCTAATTACAAGTAAGCAAATTAAGAAGAACGGAAGAGACATTTCTAGGATGCTCTAAAAAAAATTGAATATGTTATGTATGTGGCGTATTCCACCATAGTTACTAGATCAAAAAAATATCTTTTGGAAGTATTCCCTAATTTAAATTTTATTTTAGTGGAGGCAATATTTCAAAAAGTTTAGTTTAATTTCCCCATTCTTTTTTGTTATTAATTAATTTGGAGCAACGATTCTATGGATTTAACTAATCCTAAAGCATCATATTCCACTGCAGTACAAGTTTAGTCATACTATATGGCTAGAACACCTTGTCCAGGTACTTCGTGTATTTAATTATTTACTAGCTTTAGTGTATGTGTGTTGCACGTATATTTTGCATCAATCGGTATAAAATATATACAAGAAAAATAAAATTGTTCTATACATTGAAATAATATCTTCTTAATATACAAAAATGATGAATTTAGTTGAATTAGTTATATAATATTTGTAATTTTAATATCTTGTGAAATAAAATATAAATATGCCATGTTGTTGTATCTCGTCTAACATCTCTTTGGAATACAAGTAATACAAATTTCGACTATCAATTAGACCAATAACAGCATTATATTACCTCACAATTTGTCAATATGGTTATTTTATCAAAATATTATAAACCTTAACTACTGGATATAAATATTTGACCTGATTGTTTATTCGGTAGATGTGTCGCTACATCCCAAATATATATTTCTTGAAATTTTAATCTACTAAATAATACCGTTTTTTTTTTTCATAAAACTCCAGTCACCTAATTAGGTCAGTCTTCAGGAAACTTTTCTTTAAACAAATTTTCGTAGATCTCCATCCAATGATATTAATTAAATAGTTATTATTTTTCTTAAAATGTTAAAAGCTTGAAAAATTAAATAATAACTTAATTTTGTGAAAAGGAGATCTAGTGCACTCCTAATATCACCCTACAAGGAAATAATAATACTTTTTATTAATTATCAAATAATGAATACAAAAAATAATGAAACTTTAAAATTAATGTTAACTTTTTCATAATTAATTTATCATCAAGATTTTAACACAAACATTTTAGGTCGAAAAATGAAGGTAAGTTACTTTTTATAACAAAAGAGATTACAAATTTTAAAACTTGCTCAACATAAAAAAAATACGTGGTATATGGTATATGGTAGAGAATTATATATTTAAAGATTGATTTTTTCTAATTTAGAGGAAGGTTTAGTAAACAATATTTATTATGACTATAGATTATATGTAAGTATAATCAGTTTTCTATTTCCATGAAGAAAAATAAATAAAATTTGATTTAATTTATCAAAATTCTAAATAAATATTTTATGTAGGAAATAAATTAAAGCTCTTTTTTTATATAACAAAGAGATGTGTGAATTGCGAATAAACTTTCTTGTTGTTATCGAAGAGTTAGCAGCCGACGTTGATTCCGATAAGTAATCTCATCACCAACTCCGATGAGGCGCCGCCTTATCTCATCCCCCCAAAAAACCCCGACATTCCCTATGATTATCAGCGTAGGGAACAAGCGGCCTTTATCCCATCTTTCAAAGACAAACTAGCCACTGAATCAATGGAAGAAATAATCCAAACAAACCCAGAGAATCCCTCTTCTCCTACGCAATCAATTAATCACCAACCTAATGAATCTAACCAAATAGACCTAATGCTAGAATATACTCCTTCCTCCAGTATAAAACAATAAACCACAACAATTTCCTTAACAAAAAGAATTAAAGAAATTACTCTAACCTCGGAGGACGGAAATAGAATGTATACCCCATGAAAATTCTCAGTGATTGTTAAATTGATAGGAAAAAGAATTCCACACTAATATCTAAAAGCAAAAAATCACTCAACTATGGAAACCCACTGAAACGTTTCCTCTAATTGATCTAGGCCATGACTTTTTCATTGTCAAATTCTCCAAAGAAGAAAACATGACTACAGCTCTCCACAATGGTCCATGGTTTATCAATGGATACTTTCTATCAACGAGGCAATGGGAACCGGATTTTGTAGCAGGGAAAGCTAAACAAATTCATATAGCTATTTGGGTCCGTCTACCACAACTACCCACAGAATTCTACGACGGATTAATCTTGAGGAAAATTGGCAATTCTATAGGGAAGCTACTTAAAATTGATGCATGCACCAGCTCCACCCTTAGAGATCGTTATGCACGTCTTTGTGTGAAACTACCATTAAACCAGCCTGTTCAACAGTGTATCCTAATTGGCTCCCATCTCCAACAACTCGTTTATGAAGGAATAAATTTCCTTTGCAAGAACGGTGGCTACCTTGGGCATACGGTTACCTCATGCACAGTTACTTCACCAAAATTAACAATTTGCAAGATCCTATCTCCCAAGAACAAGGTAAGGAAGAACATAGCTTAACTATTGTCCCCTCACCAGAAGAGCATGGCAAGTGGTGTCTTTCACCAGGCGGAGAAACCCAAGACCAAGAGATCCTGTTGAAAGCAAGCAAAAAAAAATTCCAGCAAAAATTAAAGTACCAGGTAACAGTATAAAAATCTATGATGCAGCTACAGGTAAGTTTCTTAATTCTCAAAAACTAGTCTATAAAGCATTAAATGATCCTAATTCTTCTACGATTAATGACTCTAGGAATGTTAAAAAAGGAATTCCTCCTACAAAAAAAGGAAGATGTTTTAATGCCTACATATAATAAATTTGATTCCCTCAATACCTCTAATTGTTCAAATTTCTCTACTGGAACTCCAAACGCCTCCTCCAATTTCGAACACACTCTGTCGTTATGCCCAAAGTTCTCTGTGGACCCCACCAACCAATCCATTCATATGGATACAAGTGGCACCCCCAAGCCATGCAATCTAAACCCTAATCCACTTGATAGCTCAAACCCCTCTTCCTACACGCATAATACACTCCTCCCCTCTAATTCTTTAGAATTTGTTCAGCACTTGGCAATGGCCAGCATCCCACCAATCACAAATTCTCCTTCCCCCAATCTTTCATATCCCCCTTGCATGCAAAATCTTCACCATTAGATATGCAATCGTTTGCACCAGATTTTCACTCTACTATCAACCCTATATATCTCCCTCCTCTATACAATATCCATCCACATCCTTCTCCTTCAACCTGTCACAATCCAGTAGGCAATGGACAACCTCACCCTCCCCCTTTCCTCATCAAATTCCATTCCATCCACCAACCTTTGTCTCCCAACCTCAGAATCCCCACCAAGATCCCCAAAGTTGGATAGAGCAAGGTCTCCTAGGCCATGCAGTCACCTTCCCGATGATCATCAATGGCCAGGAAGTTTGGATTATTCTTCAGAATCCGACCTTTCTAGCCCAACTAATTTCGGAAGGCATGGCCCTAGCTATGGGGAACTACATCAACCACATGTGGCTAGCCAATGTACTGGACCCTTTAGCCACAACCATTGCTCCCACACTGCTTCACAATATGCAAGAACAGTGGAACTTATCGAACCACTTCAATCCACTCAACAACATAGAGTTACTGTATCATCTCCCTTTCTTCACTCCAGTCGCACCAACAACCCAGTCTTCTACCCTTGGCAACCAATCCCTCAGCATCACCCAATACCCATGGACTTCCACCACCAACAACAACCTTCATTCAAACAAGAGCAAGACAACCCAGAGATCCCAAAAGAGCCAATATAGGAGGTAATAGCTCCACCGGTCAGGGGATCGTTCACCGAGATTTCAAGCCTTAGAGAAGCAACCCTCATGCTATTTCAAGAGTTGGAAGACAAAAACTATGTTCTCCGGTGCCCAGTGGCACTTTACAAATGTTCAATCGACATTCGCTCCCCCCCCCCCAATTCTCCAANGAGTCCCTCCCTAAGGCAGATCAACTACCTCCTTCACCAAGGAGTAAGGAACAGTCACCACAACCCAATGAATAGCCCAATGAGCCTAGTTGTATGGAATATTCGTGGGTCTAACAATGATGAATTCCGAAGGAACTTTAGAGAGTTGTTGCATACTCACAACCCATGCATGGTTGCCTTTCTAGAAACAAAAATGATAGACCATGCACCTCTTAGGGATGAGTTCCACTTCACTGACATGTTAGAAGTCCCAGCAGTAGGCCATAAGGGTAGTATTGTGATACTATGGTATGGAAACTTAGTCACTAT